CTCAGCTAATTACTCAGTTACTTACTCAGCTCTTTACTGATCTATCTAGGTAAAATAAATCTGGAGTCTTAAATTGAACTTGTTCAATTTCACAAATCTAGTTATGATGTTTGTCTGTTGATATTGGATCTTCAGGTATGAAGTAAACATTGTAAACGGATTACAAAATAAACCCTATCAAAATATCAACTTTTGACAGAATTTTGAAAGTTCTTGAAATGTGAAGCTTCAAGACATGCCAAATCTATTTCGATTTTTCTCCTTCATTTGAATGTTATTTTCACGCCTGTTTGTTATTTATTTCTCCATGGTGATTTATACCATATATCCAATGAAATATGATGAACAGGGATATACCAAGAATGATCATTGCTGAATACTAGGAAATCGTAACTTCCTGTTGGGAATCACAATGAAGAGAAAATATCACGCTGTTGATGTTTTAAAATGCAAAATAGAGTGGAAAAGAGTGGAATCAGCAAGGTATAAACTAAACAGGCATATAGTTAACACTCTAAATTATATAGAAATGCAAGAAAATCAGACACTTCATTCAAATTTTAGAGAAAAAATGAGCAAAATCAACAAAGAATAAAGTGTCAACAAACATGTAAGAACACTAAATTTAAGAATGTAATGACACAGGGGTTTCATTAGCAGCAGGCAAAAGGCGATTTTCTAAAGGTTGTTTTTACAAAATCGCCTGTTGTTTTTAGGGACTTTTCAACTTTTCCATGTTGAACTTATGATTTCCATTAATTTTGCCTGTTGTTCTAATTTATTTAGCCTGTTTTTTAGCCTAGTGAAACCCCTGTGACATGTCCAAAAATTCAGATACTTCATTCATTTGTTACAAAAGTCATATGAGATGCCATGACACCTATTTTTAGGATCAATTTGATCTTATCTAATCAGTATTAAAATTAATTATATACTAATTAATCTCTCCTCATAGCCAGTAATATGTACTATAGGTCTGGTATTCAGGGAATTGGTTGTACATCCAAAAATATGATAAAAACAAGGCATTAACATGCAAAATGTCACAACCTGCCATTTGTTACAGATGCCAACACCAACCACCAAATTCCAAATACCAACGGCAGAACACGGTGCCACAAAAAAGTTTGAGACTATAACAATGTGTCATCTCTTGTGGTGGTGACATTAAAATGGTACATGTACATAACAGAATTTCAATAACGCAGATGCGAGTAGGTAGTTACCAGTTTCGCCACTAGGTGGCTCGTTCGGGTCAGATAACATGGCGGGTATAGTAGAAAGTTCCCTTTAACTAAAATTACATCTGTTTTAGTGGTGCAATTTTTATATAACCTTTATGTATCTAATAGTTATGCAAATTAAAATATGTCCAGTAAAAGAAAATGTTATCTGACCAATGCAAGAAAAGATAATTCACTTTTTGTGATTTTGTAACATGGGGTCTATGGGGAATCAACCCGAACAAGAAGTCACATTTTCAAAAAAAATTAAATTTTCAAAGTTGATAAACAATTTTCGAAACCATTTTTCTAGATGTACTTTTACATGTAGATTTCAAATATGACATCACTTTAACTGAATTTTGAATATTTAATGACGTAAATCAAAATTATTTCTATTCGCATCTAGTCTATTGCTTCACTTAATGAAGCCAGGCCCGTAGCCAGAATTTTCCAAGGGGGGGGGTTCACTTTTCCAAAATATTCTATGAGGGGGGAGGGTTCACTTTGAAAAATTTGGCCAAAAGTCACTCAAAAAAGTCAGAATGGTGAAAAACTGCATGATTTTCAAAGACATTTTGGCCAGGAGGGGGGGACGCTGAATCACCCCTGACTACGGGCCTGGAAGCATTTAGACAAAAGCTTCATGAAAAAGGATTTTCCTCAGAAATCCTTATATGCTTCATGACGAAGCAATTAAACCTGATATCTAACTCTAACCAATGACATCAATATGGTAAACATGATACCACTATTGAACTCACCGTTGCATATAATGTTGCTATGGTAACATGATTGGCACGGAGGAGATTCATTTTCATCACTCTGATGTGTATCTATGGTTTCTCGATCAGAAATGTCATCGTTGACGTTAACGTGCTGGTTATACAATAATTGTGATTGTATTAGAGTTGGGGTGATAGATGATACCCCCATAGTCGCAACATGCGTCCATAAGTTACTTGAAAACATTTTGAGTCATTAAACGAATTCAGCGAATTAAACTAATATTCACGAACAATCAGTTCTACTGTTTCCAGCAATGACAGAGTTTCTAGATCCTCGAAGATAAAGTCGAGACGAAGATATTCCAACCTCGACAGTCTTACATATATTTAGATGACTGGCTCCGAATCCTATTACTCAAATAGATAAAAGTCCAAGGGAATTAGGATAAGACTGTTGCTCAAGCTGAGAATCTGAGTCATGATGTATGGTTTTCAATATCCAATTCACAGTTGAATGATTTCCCATATGAAATGATGCGTGGCTTTTTATTTTATTGAGCTCTCAAATTACTTCTTCTGTGTTATATCATTTATTAGCTTAGTAGATTCAGAACGGTGTTTTCGCATCGAGACAACATCCTTCAGACCCGGGCCTTCAGATCCTTTCTGAATAGTATGTAGTTTAAAACACTCGTGGTGAGTATCAAAATGGTATTTTTAAGTTGCTTATTTGCTGATAAGTAAGTCTTAAGTCCGATGACATCCCATCTCAGACTATCCTGATAAGATAAGTGAAAACATACTTTCCTTGACCTCGGATCTTATCATGAATTTGAATGTCTTTCTTATGTGAAGGCCAATAATAACACAAGGTATTAACAGGCATCAAAATATCACCACCTGTCATTTGTTACAGATGCCTAACATCAGATGCCAGACGCTGAATGCAAACTGCCAAACACCGTCCACAAAAAGTTGGAGACTATAACAATATGACACCATTTGTGGTGGTGACATAATAGCCGTAAATGTATAATTTATGTTGAAATGTTATCAATGAAGAAAACATTCTTCCTTATTTGTTTCATACAAAATAAAACAATTCAATCTGATTTTAAACCATTTTCCCATTACTCTAAGGACAACAATACATGTAGATAACCTTAAATGTAGTAACAGATGATAGCCGTAACACCCAACAGATGAAAACATAAAATTCCTTCTATGTGAACAAAATTAAAACAACCCATATTTGGGATCATGATCTGTTTTTATTATTCTAAGGACAAAGACCATGTAACCTTAAATGTATTAATTGTGCCAATGAATACATGTATAGAATATTATAGTTTCACCTGGATTCACTCCAAGTTAAATATTGTAATACAGTTCAGGGCACAGCCCCAAAATTCTCAAGATTGGCCAGGTGCTATATTCGGGTTATACAAGCCAATATATGAGGCTGGGAGCAAGACTAGCTTAACTCAGATTTTATATTATAAATCAACTGATACCCCTTAAGCAGCAACTTATGCTTTTGTTTATAGGGGAGTTTAAATGGGCCAATTTCTGAGGTTGAGTTTAAGACTGGCTAAACTAATATTTTCAGAACTAAATATTTCTATCACTTGCTGATATCTTTTATATACAGTAAAACATGTGTACAGTGAACACCTATGAGCCACAAAAATGTGTTCACTATATGTAGGTGTTCACTACGGAGAGGCTTCACAACAGTGAACACCTATGGAGCCACAAAAATGTGTTCACTATAGATAGGTTTTCACTACAGAGAGGCTTCACTACAGTGAACACATATGGAGCCACAAAAATGTGTTCATTATAGGTAGGTGTTCACTACAGAGAGAGGATTTTATACAGAAATCGGTGGAGAATGTGCTGAGAAGAGGTGTCATTAGACACAGGTGTTTACTAGAGAGAGGTGTTCTAAGGTTTTACCTTACTGTACATGTATTTATGAGAAACAAGTGCCAAATTTAAAGTAAATAAACAGTTTCCTTACTTGTAAACAACAAAACATAAATACATATAAGTACATAAAATAGAAATAAAAGAATTTTTTGATTGTACTCCCAACAGATGTTTTTTGACTGATTCATTTAATTAATATATTTTGGCCAACTATTGTTTTGCTCAATCCGCTAAAGTGTGGTTTTGAAAACATCATTTTCCTAATAAGATGGTTTAAAAGAGAGATACTTAAAAGTTTCCTATTATCTGTAGTTTTTCAAAAAGTAAATAGAAAGGCCAAGTCTTATGCAAATCATCAAGCTGACAGAATCACTCCAATAATTTACCTAGGTCAATAATACGATTTCCTGATATATTCTTAAGACTGTACTGACTGGACTAAATTATCAATACTCCGATCCTAAAGTTTACTATTCAAATATTGATCATTATACTAGAGTAATCCTAGGTCAGATGTAAGACAGATAATGAACTTACTGACACTAAATATTTTGAGATATCAGTCTAGACCTTCTTTGAGTCATTGAGAAAAACATCTTAGGCCAAGGACCAAGTCATGCCTCTTAAGATTGGATCACCAGACAATAAAGTACAATAAAGTACAATGAATAAAACCATGAACTGTTTATTGTGAAGTTTTTTTGTTTTATTGTTTTAAAGTTGATATGAAATTTTCAATAAATATTTTGTTCATTTAAAAAAAAAGTCATCCAATATTTTTTGAAGATATTAATATTTAATGGTAATATTTGAATCCTACTGATTGAGTGAGACCCTACAAAAAAATAAATATTGGGCAGTCATATGACCTACCCTAGGAGCAGCCCTGTGGGTCAATTTCCCCACCCTTGGAACAATATTCAATATTATCCTGACTTATTAACATCCGGCCCATTAGAGTATTATTGTGGGCACCCATCCCTTTCCACATGGGGGTCTCAGAAAAACCCTTGAATGGAGTATCATTGATCCCGCTCAAATTTCTGAGATTATTTTTTATTCAGGTCAAGGTTAAAGATATCTAGGTCAAGGTCAAAGAGGTGAAATGAACACTTACCTTCTGGTTCATCATTGTTCATTTGGGATGTGTCTTGATCTGGTTGTGCTGCATTGTCATTGGGTTGTGCTATTTCATTTGGTTGCGCTTCTTGTTGTGTTGGTTGTGCTGGTTGTGCTATACCAGAGGGAGCCACAGTTGTATCCTCAACAATGGCGCCCTCTCTTGGTTCCCATATTTCTTCAGACAGACTTGTATTTAATGTACTATCCAACCCCTGTGACCTTTGTTGTAGCACAGCCCCCGTGGACTGAGTGTTTGTTTGAGATGCTCCCTCTGCTACTGCATTTGTATCATTTTGAGTTGTTCCCTGTGTTTCATCAGCATCGGCAACGGGTGATAACATCCCTTCTCTGGTTTCAGATGGGGAGCTGAACTCATTCGCGGGGAAAGGAGGGGGGTCAGTGGAGACACTACCACTCCCTCTACTGAACAAGCGAGTATGGGTCCGACCCTCAGGTTCGATCGTAACACTCCCACTTCCTCTACTAAACAATCGAGCATGAGTTGTACCCTCGGTTTCTAAAACATCATTATTGCTATCCCGACTAAATAATCGTTGAAAGGATGGAACTCCTGTGGGGGCATTTCCATCGAATACTTCATCTTCAAGGTTGTTAAGTGCCGTAGCATCAGTGATGTCTCTATGATCGTGTAAAGCATCCAATGAAACCCGAGATGATATAACGGGTATGTCAGCCAATTGAGAAGACAGACTAGCGACAGAACTGTTCGGTCTGCGATCTGAAGCAGACTGTGGGGTTTGAGCAGATAAGGTTTGCATAGGAGAGTCTTGGATGGTTGAAGTGGAGGGGGTGGGGGAACTCGCTGAGGGGGTAGGGGTTCTTTCTGAAGAAGTTGAAGTTCTAATTGATGGAGTCTGAGATATGTTGGCTTCAGACTCATTAATAACTACTTCAATGGTTTGTTCAGAGTTAACTGCACTATTCTCATCTATGGCACTGTCATCTTCATTTATTCCACTGGCAATATTTGATTCAGCAGTATCAGCCTCATTCTGAGTTTGATTAGCCTCATTTTGAGTTTGAGCAGACGTTAATTCTGTCCTATCAGATTGCTCTGTTGTAACCTCCTCATTGAGTCTTTGGACATTATTTGAATGTGTATCATCAGAAGACTGATTTTGTTCAGTGGCACTGTTCTCACCATTGTTAGACTCAGGGGAACTGGAGTTACCTTGGAAACGTTTTATATTGTCTAAGGAGCCTACAAATGCCTCCATACTATCAAAACTAGCTACATTTGACTTGGGTGGCATACCACATGCCTGCATTGGATCTAACGTCTTTAAATGCTCAGCAGTCAGGGGCACCGTGCCAGACACGCTAGACCCACTAGCCCCTGAGTTTCCAGACTCCGTGCCCACTTGGGTTTTTGAGCTAGGTGGAGTTGCACTACTATTACTCCTAGAATCTTTCCGCACCACACCTTGACTTGAATCAACCGCCTCTAACACTAACTGACTCGCAAACTCACCACATTCTATATTTGGTATTGCATTTAAGCTTCCCGGACTTTGACTTAATAGCGATTCATCCTCAATTTCAAAACTGTCAGCTATACGTCCTCGGCTAAGAGCACTCAATGAAATATGGCTACCTCCAATGTCATTTTCTGCAGAAGTGTCATTATGTTGTGAAACTCTGTCAGTGGTAGATTCAACGTGATTGGTTACAATACCAGGGTCGGTATTAACACGCTTTTTTCGTCGTCGACTATTGGGAGAATTTGTTGGTGATGGAGAATGATCAGTCGCAAATGAGTTGACTCTTCGTTGATTTTGAAGTGATCTTCGTGATGATCTAGGTGAACTGTGATTGGCTGAAATCAAACATATATGAATATCAATATATTTAACTAAACATTTAACTAAACATTTAAATAGAGATAAAGCTAGAGCATACCTGTGAAAAACTCATTATGATAGACACATTTTAAAATTGAAATAGGATGGTAAGGTGTGTAATTAGCAAGGAATAAGGTAAACATGCACATATGTAGTCAATACACCATATTATGATAAATAGAAAAACCACAAAATGAGTTAGTTCTACAAATTTTAGAGAAAAATTTTTGAATAACAGACATGACCAAAAACATGATAGACATTATAATACACAAGAAAGACATGATAATACACAAGAAAAACATGATAATACACAAGAAAAGACATGATAATACATAAGAAAGACATGATAATATATAAGACATGATAATACACAAAAAAGACATGATAATACATAAGAAAGGCATTATAATACACAAGAAAGACATGATAATACATAAGAAAAACATTATAATAAATAAGAAAGACATGATAATACATAAGACATGATAAAACACAAGAAAGACATGATAATACATAAGAAAGCCCATGATATTATTAAAGATAATTGCTGTGTATTGCTCACTTTCACTCTGTTAATACCAGACAACTCTTTACTCACAAAGCTGTAATTGGACAAAGAGTGCGTCACTACTTCAATCATTACGGTTTCATTATTTGAAATGATCTTCACTCGTCTGACTTCATCCTGATCTCATATTATAGAGACTACAACGCTAAAGAATCTCTAATTTAGCCAGTTAGTAATAACCCATTACTATTTTGCCACTTTTTAACGAAAGCCATTACAACGGTCGACACGGAATCTTTCATTTACTAAGTGAAAAATGAGAAGCCTTCAGAGTTAATGAAGAAAAAAGGAAATCAGGCCCCTGGTTAGGTTCGCTTATTTATTTGATTTCATTGAGAAAAATTGACTGTCTGGCTTGGCCTTAATTTTATCTCTCGTTGAGTTTATTCCACACGTTTCTCATTATATTTAGCGGAACTTTCTCATTTTTAGTATTTCTTTAAAATTTGGAGTTAAAGACACCATGCCCTTATATTTCATCCCTTGCTGATTCCTCACATTTTCCCAATGTTTTTGGTTAAAAAAAAAATATATATATAAAATGATTATAAAAACAGAAAATAACAGAAGAAGTAATTCAGTCACTACTGGTTTCACTTTTAAATATACAGAGGATATCCTATGATTTTTGAGGGATACCATTTTTATCCATGAGTGGATATTGCTCATATCTTCTCTATACATGTATACACACTTGTGTATTCTATGAGTGGCCATGTGACATCCTCAGAATCACAAGGATATAAACCAGTCTTTGATCATTAAACAAAAGGGTAAACCACGCCATCATTATTATATCAGGTTTAGTATACATAAAGCCCTACACCCCAGTGTCATGGTATTGAAAATTCAAGAGGTCTGATTAGAACCCATATATAGACAAGGGTTGGTACTTGCATCTGATGAATAAAAGGGTCATTTCCAATATATCTATTATCATGTGAAAGGCATTTGAAATGGAATCCCCAACATGATGTGATTATACTATACATGTAGCATATATGTAAATACATTTGTGAGATCTCACTGTGGATATTACAGGAAATCAATAAACAGCCTTATTGGAACAAATGTAATTACACAATAGAGCATATATTGGCATATATCTAGGTTCACATGTTAATACTAAGACATCATTCATACTTGACATCGTACATTGTACAGTAAAACCCTCCAATCCAAACACCATGGTTAACATTTTAAGGATTCATTTATTCATAATAGGAGAAAACATAGAAGATATTGTAACAAAACTAAGTAATTATCACTTGAATGTACCTTGACTGTACTTACACTGTAGCTGTGTTAAGTCTATCTCTATGCTGAATGTGAGCACGCCACTGACATGTAAATATATTAAGCCCCCTTGGCTGTACTTACACTGTAGCTGTGTTAAGTCTATCTCTATGCTGAATGTGAGCACTCCACTGACATGTAAATATATTAAGCCCCCTTGGCTGTACTTACACTGTAGCTGTGTTAAGTCTATCTCTATGCTGAATGTGAGCACGCCACTGACATGTAAATATATTAAGCCCCCTTGGCTGTACTTACACTGTAGCTGTGTTAAGTCTATCTCTATGCTGAATGTGAGCACGCCACTGACATTGTCTGATGGGTTTCTTCTCATAAGATTAAAAGATAATTCTCTTGCAGATCTAAAAGCACATAAATAAGCAAAAATTTAGTACATGGACAATTTAATGAGAGCTCTGGTGACCCCCCAAAAATGTTACCCTCTAGATTTACAGTGAGTACAAAGATGATTTACTTCAAGTACCTGATCAGTGCACTATATACAATAACAAGTTTCAACATGCAAAATGTCACCACCTGCTATTTGTTAGATGCCAAACACACCACCTCCAAATGCCAACCGCTGTCTCAAAAAGGTTGGAGCTTATAACAATATGTCACCACTTCTGGTAGTGACAAAAACAACACACAATGAGAAAAATTCTATAAGTACAGGAGTAATTCAATCTAGACTTGACTATTCACAAGAGTCTTACCCTAATGCTGCCCTATCTACAAGTCTTTGAACAGGAACGGTAAGTTTGCCTAAAAATCTGCTGATGGTTGGACGACTCTTAGCAAACTTGTCTTTCACCTCAAACTCAAGAACATCTGTGGGCAGAGCTTCAAATAAAAAGTCCTGAAAATACAAGAAAATCTGTCTTACTTCTATGATGTACTGGTCAACTCAATCCATACAAGTATAATATATACAACTGAAGGAAATATATAAGTAATGAGGGAGGGATGGAGGGGAGAATAGGGGATGTGGTAGAATAAGGGGTAAAACGGCGAGTCAGTGGTTGACTAAGGGGGTAAAGGGAAGTGCTGAGAGTGGTAAATGTGGGTGACAGGGGTGGGGAGTAGAGAGGAGTAGATGGGAAGGGTATAAAACAGTAGAGAACTAAGTAGGGGGAAGGAGGAGGTAAACAATTGAAGCAGGACTTATATTGAATCTTATGGACAATATGAATAAATGCAGGTGTAATGAGATGCTATTTGATTTTACACTGTTTGGTTGAGAGGTGACAGAAACAGTTGATTGCTGTTAATTTAACATTATGGTCAAAGTTAACCAGATAGAGGCAACAAGAGCTGCAACGAGCTGCATCGCGCACAAACAGAATTAAATATTTTTATGAGAAACCAAATGCCATCTTAACAGTTCTCAAAGGGCGCTGTACTCAGAAATAGAGCATCACTCGTCGCTAATCAGCATCTGACACCCCGGTCTATGTAGCTCTAGGGGCCGTGAGCAATCAACAAGAACATATTGCTAACTTTTCTAACAAGGCATGAACATGTAAAATGTCACATCTATCATTTGTTATAGATGTCGAATGCTGAAAACCACCGAACACCAACTGCCAAATGCCAAATACCAACCACCAAACATCAACAACATAGCCACAACAAAGTGAGAGACCATACAATATACCACCACTGAAAATGACCCTCAGCATCATTTATAGTGTGGTGATCATTTCAGGAGAATTATGGATTTCAAGAAACCTTCTTTAACGTCAAACTGCACTTTCCACTATTTTGATGACCATGTGCTTTTTTCAGATGAACATAACACATTCCAAACATGGTCTAAATATTCCATTTTGCATAAAAGGTGCTTTAGTGTACCCAGATTAATAATTGGGTGTTAATGATTCTTTAAAATGTATAAATAACTAGAAAATTAAGCAGTCTTCTTTTCAAAATTGTAAAAATTTCTCATCATACAGATCATCCTTAATTAATAGCTCCAATAGCAGCCATCCTCCGATTACAGGGCTTCGAAATCAAGAATATATTCTTTCTTTTTACGCCCTGCGATAAGCAGTTAGCATTTCCCCGATTAAAAACTCACAATATGATTGGCTGTCGCAACACTGCAACGGAAACCATGTATAAGTCATTGTGCATAATTAGATCACGTGATTCAGTTTAATCGGGCGCTTCCAAATTGGTTATAGCAGGGGGAAGAAGGAGGTACGGATTCTGGATACCTGCTTAGGAGGATGATAGCAACAATCTAATAACAACCTTATAAAGTATGTGTGCTAAGCATGATAGAAATAATGAAGGTTACTACATCCATTATCATTACAAGGTAAATTATAGGAATCACTCTCCATTATTTTATTAGTCTTCATTTAGAAAATAGTAATTTTGCATGTATGCAAATGACTACCCTTGACTGAGCTAAATTGCATCTACATCTGATTACAAGGAAAATGTCTAATACACACTGTACAAGGATAAATGTCTAACACACACTGTACAAGGAAAATGTCTAACACACACTGTACAAGGAAAAATGTCTAACACACACTGTACAAGGAAAATGTCTAACACACACTGTACAAGGAAAAATGTCTAACACACACTGTACAAGGAAAAATGTCTAATACACACTGTACAAGGAAAATGTCTAATACACACTGTACAAGGAAAAATGTCTAACACACACTGTACAAGGAAAAATGTCTAACATACACTGTACAAGGAAAAATGTCTAATACACACTGTACAAGGAAAAATGTCTAATACACACTGTACAAGGAAAAATGTCTGATACACACTGTACAAGGAAAATGTCTAATACACACTGTACAAGGAAAAATGTCTAATACACACTGTATACAGTAAAACCTATTCAAAAGGTGTTCCCAAATTTTACAGTACTATCATGTTAGTGGTTATCAAGAATATAAACAATCCATTTTAGGTTCTAAGCCTCCACACTACTCGTCTCTCTTATAAGCGTTACATAAACCTAAGTGTTGTAACATAACTGTAACATAAGCGTTACAAAAAGAGAAATGCTAACAGATCTATACATGTCAGGAATTTCACTGGTATTTCACACAACAGGCTAAATAAATGAAAACAACAGGCAAAATTAATGGAAACCATCAATTTAACATGGAAAATTTGAAAAGATCCCTAAAAGCAACAGGCAATTTTGTGAAAACAATGGGTGAAAATTGCCTGTTGCCTGCTGCTAATGAAACCCCAGCCTGTACAGTATACAATTGTAATAACTTAGTGTAATTCACCTACCAAGCTTCGTAGCCAATAATAGGCAATTATTTACGTAGTCTCTCTGTAGATCTATAACTACGACTCGATCATATAATTCAAGGCTTACATTAATATCCGATCAATCTTTCTGATAATATCGACTGTTTTCATTGACGCCAACTAAATCTTTGTGACGATTTATATAGAATTCTGCATGTATATCTACATTCCAGGCTGACCATCATTCCTTGGTTTAACTACCATTGTGATCTGACAGGAATACACAGCCAAGTCGTGACGGTATATTCTCTAATTCTTTCTTGTCATGTAACGTTTATTGCTATTAAAAACCTGCTTCGTCATCATTAGCTTAACCTGTCCAAAATATCCCAAATCGCTAAAATCATTGTTTGTCTCCATATATTTTGTTTAATCCAAAATTATCATATTTCAAAACGATACACAGACTTTACCTAAATTCATCCTTGTGTATTTCACGCTATTCTAGATAAGAATAATCACAAACATTGTTGCTTACGTTATTATCGTTACCCTAGTGAGTAGTTAGCCAGTATCTACGACATTGGCTATTAACAAGACGCCAAATGGTGAACGGCATAAAAGATACTTCAGATCCCAAAGGGTAACGAGGCAATATCTATAATCTTCAAAGCATGAAATATAATGGCAATTACAGTAAAACATGTATATCTGAACACCTATCTTATCTGAATACCTCTCTTATCTGAATACCTCTCTAATCTGAACACCTCTCTTATCTGAATACCTCTCTTATCTCAACACCTCTCTAATCTGAAAACCTCTGTTATCTAAATACCTCTCTTATCTGAACAGCTCTCTTATCTGAACACCTCTCTTATCTCAACACCTCTGTTATCTGAAAACCTCTCTTATCTGAATACCTCTCTAATCTGAATACCTCTCTTATCTGAATACCTCTCTTATCTGAACAACTCTCTTATCTGAACACCTCTCTAATCTGAACATCTCTCTAATCTGAAAACCTCTCTTATCTGAATACCTCTCTAATCTGAACACCTCAAAATGCAATGTGAACACTTTTTCTCAGTCCCAATTTTGTTATCTCCCATTGACTAACATACAGGAAAACCTGTCTTAGCAAACACCTCTCTCTAGTGAATACCTGTCCCTAATAAACACCCTTTCTTCGTTCATACTCTACTGACTTCTGTATAAATTACCCTATTTAATATACCAGATGCGAGTAGAAATAATCTTGATTTAAGTCATTAAAATTTCACAATTCAGTCAAACTGATGTCATATATGGAATCTACATGTAAAATTACATTTAGAAATGTGGTTTTGAAAAGAGTTCATCAACTATGAAAATTGAATTTTCTTTGAAAATGTGACTTCTAGGTCGGGGAGATTCCCCATAGCCCCCATATTGTAAAACCACAAAAAGTGTAATATCTTTTCTCGTGTTAGGCAGATAATATTTTCTTTTACTAGACATATTTTAATTTGTATAACTATCAGATACATAAGGGTAATATGAAAAGTGAACCACTAAAATTGATGAATATTCAAGTTTAAGGGAATTTTGTAACACCCTGCCATGTTATTTCCCCCGAATCAGCCATCTGTTGGCGAAACTGGTAACTACCTACTCGCATCTGAGTAATTAATACCAACCTAGAGTGAACACATTTTTGTGGCTTCATAGGTATTCACTGTATACAGATTTTACTATATTAAGAAATATTGAAATGTGAACACCTATTAATCAGAACACTTTTGCAAAGTCCTAATGTTGTTCAAATTAGACAGGTTTTACTGTATGTCAGTTTGAGAAAAAGGTTAAAATCGTATGCGAGTGTACAAACTTAACTAATCAATACCAAAGAGGAAACAGAATGGTTATATCCAAAATTGAACCAAGAAATACCAATCAATGCCAAAAACAAACAAGCTAATCAATAATCAAGAATAACAAACAATAGAAAAAACAATCAATACGGAGTTAAGGAATAAATAATGATAGGCCATTCAATATGGTGAAATTCAGCACTCGTTGGACAGAATGTTAGTACAAATGCACTCACCTTCGGTTCGTGCTTTGTACAACATTCTGTCCAACTCGTGCTGAATTTCACCATATTGAATGGCCTATCATTATTTATTCCGATTCAAACATAAAAATTAGTAAAAGCCGTGTCTGTGGAACGGGCATGAAGGAAGAATATGCATGCAATCCCCGGACAGAGCCCCAGATGTGCAGCTGAGATGTGACGTCACTCAAAACAATGCAAATTGCAGATTGAATAGAGCATGGTCGTGCATCTATGGAGAATTAGAGAACGTTCTATATTGGCTATGCTGCATTCTGATTGGTTGAGAAATTCGAATAGAGCACGGTCATGTTTGAATATTAAATCAATCAACACCAAAATATGAGGCATTCAATTCAAAATACAAGAAAACTATTATGTATTAAAAAGAGCTGAAAATTATGACTGAATTATTTTTTTGCAATATTGAAAAATAACCCTTAACCTAAGAAGAGAATAGGTACTTAGAGAATTAGTAAGTCAGTCCCCATGGAGATACAAAAAAAAAACTCAAAATTATCCTATTTTTATAAACCCATTTAAATGTTATTAGATTATTCTCAAATTCTGTCAAGACTGTTGCTATAAATAATAGAAAAAAAGAACTCCGAGAACAATCATGACCAATATGAAATTGAGCAAAATGACTCCAAGAAATCCAGTATAGTAAAACCTGAATATCTGAACACCTCTCTTATCTGAACACCTTCCTAATCTGAACACCTCTTAATATGAACACCTTCCTAATCAGAACACCTCTTAATGTGAACACTTTCTCAGTCTCATTTTTATAGTCTTCAACCTTTTAATGGATGTTGTTCAGCAGTCAGTGTTTGGTGGTTGGTGTTCGGTGGTCGGTATCTGTAACAAATGGTGGGTAGTGACATTTTGTATGTTAATGCCTTGTTTAATCTATCACAGACTTCCATGTTAAAAAAACTTGAAAATTAATATGAACACTTGCAAATCTGAACACTTTTTGGCTGGTCCAGGAGGTGTTCGGACTAGACAGATTTTACTGTACATTGTAATATGTTCCCCCACTGATTTTAAAAGGAGCTATTGATTGATCAAACGCTTTAGACTTTACATGGCGAAATTGTCACGGTAAAGAGCAGTAAAAGGTTATCCCCTTAGTCAAGAGATTATTACAACATTACATTAAATGTACGATTCTGCCATTTTATTACAAGAGTCTCGTTTTTGTCCTGGTGTTTTTTACAAATACACCTGATTTTGTATGTTTTCATAGTAAATTGCATGCTTTTTAATTTGGTTTTGTAGACCTTTTCCAGCCCATGACTTATGTAAAATGTTACATACATCTAAATATCATGTAAAGTTCTTTTTATTGAACAATCCACCAAAACATAGCTATCGGGAAAATAATAAATCTAGCTCCATGTACTTGTGGATGTGTTAAACTCTACAACTGAAATTCTGATCAAAGAGCTTCATTTTGAAAAACCTAATCCGATCGAGCAAAACAAAATCGAAACATGATTTTCACTTCACCAAAGAGTGTAGAGGTAGATAAGAAATCAAAACTCATAGGGTTCCAATTTCTATAAATACATCAGGAATCCCCTCTAACCAATCTTCTTTTCACCCAAGTGACATCTATTTAACCAATTTGAAAGCAAATCCATATTTCTTTATTTCCATCAATATATCCCTTCATTCTTTTTATTTGGCTTGTCAATGCTGGTATGAGTTTCAAGTCACTTTTGAAGAAAAGCAAAAGATTCTAAATTGTTTGCACTTCTGAGTTAGATGAGATGTAAATGAATAAACACAAGGAGCACACGCGTCTTGAACTCACAACCTCGTGGTTACGGCGCCCAATCGCCTAGCCTGAACATAGTAGGACTTATATGATGACATGCTAAAGTACTGGACCTTATGCTAGCAGGAGTTTCATTAGCAGCAGGCAACAGGCGATTTTCACCTTTAAAGTTGAACATCTTTTGGATATACTGGGGTTTTATTCGCAGCAGGCAACAGGCGATTTTCACCAGTTGTTTTCACAAAATCGCCTGTTGTTTTTAGAGACTTTTCAACTTTTCCTTGTTAAATATATGATTTCCATCTATTTTGGCTGTGGTTTTCATTTATTTAACCTGCCGTGAGAAATTCTAGTGAAACCCCTGGCTAGTGTTTTAAACTTAAGTGTTGGAGGAGAAACTTAAGAGGGGAAATTAGAAAGGTACCTTATGGTACATTACCATTTGATAGAAAAGCATCTGAACCTACACTCCCCTCCACAAGTTTAACAAATGGAAGGTTTCTTTGGATATAGCATATCAAAGTTTGAATCTATTTTTGTTTCTTAGTACAAAAGTTAAGAAATCATGGCTTTAATACTTTTTTAACCTCTTGAATACCCAGAGTGACGGATATATCCGTCACAAATGAAATAAGACTGGTGCCCAGAGGGAAGAGAAAATCCGTCACAAAATTTTTCACAAAAAATGCTCTCATTTGAACAATTTTCATCCAATTTACACAAAAATTGTTTTAAAACGTGTAGAAATGATCTCTGCCGTCCAATTTTATTAAGCTGAGCATCTAAAGTTGTATAGGTATGTAATAAAATGTCAAAAGGTGGCAAAAAATGAAAAATTCTCTGGTTTCATGCCAATTTTAGAGCCTGGGATTCAAGAGGTTAAATCGCCAAAAATAAACAGGCTTTGACAAGTGATCAAGAAGGAACTTCCAGTTGCCAAACTTATCGAGGGTAGAGCACTTCATAGTGCCATACACTTATTGAGGGTAGTGTACTTCATAGTGCCAATCGAGGGTAGTGTACTTCATAGTGCCAATCGAGGGTAGTGTACTTCATAGTGCCAATTGAGGGTAGTGCACTTCATAGTGCCAATTGAGGGTAGTGTACTTCATAGTGCCAGTAACACTTTAGTAGAAAAGCACTAAGACCTACCTCATGGTACCATACAGGGCTCGTTGTATTCTGTTTAATAGTTGATCGTTTCTCTTGCCCATGATGTCTCAGGCGCGGGAACGTTGACCTCTTGCCAGGCTGGACTGATAGCTTAACATAGGGGTCTGGGTTGAAAAACATTCCTTTTTTGAGGTATAGCGCTTGCATGTCTGAAAATAAATGAAAAATGAAAGAGTAAAATGATGAAGTATATGATTGGTACACTTGTATTTGAAAATACTCGACATGTAACTTTTGAAAAAAAATCCAATAGACTTTGAAATTAACCTTCTTTTCAACATTTTTTGTAGCTTGAAAAGGGAAAATTGTTTATAAACTAAATAAATAACCTTTTAAAATTGAAATATATTTTAGAGTCATTTAGGACAACAATTACAGCTATTGGCCTTTTAAGGCATATTGATTCACAAGGTTGCGATTGTTCCTACCTCACCTTGATAAATCTCCCCGATTTAGCTGACCACTGTGTAAATAAACCCCAGCTGAGTTCACTCTCAATATTGCTCCTCCTGGCAGTTGCCCGCAGAGTTTTGTGAGACGCCACAAAACCAATCGGCCAATCAACAATGCAATATTTATTCAGAGCGTACAGACATTTTCAATATTTTGTCATGTGACGAAGCAGAGCGTTTTGATTGGATCCTTTGAGTTAACACCGGACCATGAACCGCCACATATGAATTGGAGAAACAAATTGACCTTTTATGTGACGGGGTCTCTAGACCCAGAGGAAAGCGAAGATGCTTTTAAGGCAGACATGATGTTTTAAGGTGACATAACTTTTAAGGTGACATAATGTTTGAAGGCCATAACTTTTAAGGTGGGATAATGTTTGAAGGTCATAACTTTTAAGGTGGGATAATGATTGAAGGTCATAATTTTTAAGGTGGGATAATGTTTGAAGGAGGTCATAATTTTTAAGGAGACATAATGTTTTAAGGTCAAAACTTTTAAGGGGACATAATGTTTTAGGCATAATTTTAGGGTAACATAATTTCTAAGCAAGACATTATGCTAGGAGTACAGGCATCATGTTTTAGGGTGGGGGTGCTGTTTACACTTTCGTGCCTGGTATCATGTTTGGATGTAATTTGCATTTAGCCTACGTGTTAATGTTCATGTAAAATAAGCAGAAAACTTACTTCAACTTAACCCAAGTTATTAAATGGTTCATTAATAAGGACATATTTGATAAAATTAAACATTGCCTTGAAAATATGTAACACAAAATGTTTAACACAAAATTAGGTGCAGAGGTGATCAATAGACTAGATGAGAGTAGAAATTATCTTGATTTTCATCATTAAATATTCAAAATTCAGTCTTAGTGATGTCATATTTGGAATCTACATGTAAAATTACATAGAGAAATGTGGGTTTGAAGGGCTTATAATCTTTGAAAATCTACTTGCTTTTGAAAATGTGATTTCTAGGTCGGGGAGATTCCCCATGTTGTAAAATCACAAAAAGTGAAATATCTTTTCTTGTGTTGGGCAGATAACATTTTCTTTTACTGGACATGTTTTATCAGTTACATAGGGGTAATACGAACATAGGGGTAATACGAAAAGTGAGCCACTAAAACTGATGATTATTCAAGTTTAAGAGACGTTAATACCCTGCCGTGTTATTTCCCCACGAATTAGCCACCAGGTGGCGAAACTGGTTACTAACTACTCGCATCTGAGTAATTGTTTCAGGTAAATAGAAAGCCCTTTGATTCCCCACATGCCGAAGTATATATGAATTTCTATCAACCCGCCTTCAAAGTGAAACTTTCATAAATACTGTACTGCAACACCGTTATATCAAACAGCTGTCTAAAGCCTTTAATAGCGCTCTAGGCAACAGAATATATTTTCTCATTTAACTTAAATTTATTCTAAATACCATGCTTTCTCAGTGCTAAAGGCAAAGTATAATTGTTTAATTTTATCCAATTTTATCCATGTTAAAATTTATCCTCATACTCTCCTGGAGCCATGTTTTGATCATGACTGATATAAAAACATTATATTTTGCATGTTTCCGCCCTTATGAACAGTTAGTCCAACCTGACCTTTTACCATGAACACATAAATGTAATGAGATATGAAATAGAAATGAATGCAGACTAGATTTTAATGGTTTTGGAAATGTGATTTAATATTTTTGTTTATTTCATGTTTTTGTATAAGCAAAGTCACATTGGTTGTAAATATTCCGTGTTTTTATGAGTTACTTATTTTAGAACTCTTTGGTCTATATAATGGCCTGTAAAAATGGTCATAAAACTGATATTCACATGTTTTTGTAAAGAATACCTCCATATTGCCTTTCCTTTTTCTAACAGAAAAACATAGAAGATATCCTAATAGATATCCTATTTTGATGGATATTGTTTTTATCCATGAGTGGATATTGATCATAAGGGCAAGACAACCTAGTAAGAGAGTAGAAATTGGACAATGATATCCACAAGTGGATAAAAATGGTATTCCAAGGAAAATCATGGGATACAATATTTATCCTATGGATTGTCCTTTACATTAGGCACTCTGGGGTGAATAAATTGGGGCAAAAATACAAAAACTAACCTTGCACTGTGAACCGAATAAGCTGAGCAGGATCGGCTGCCTGGGTTTTGCTTCGAGTTCCATGAGACTGGGACGTGCCCTGAAAATACATATTCAAGACACTCTTATAAATATTGATGTTTGATTCCATATGTATATACTCAATAATACTTCATTTGTACTTACTTTACAAGAAGAGAACCACCAGGATTCCCCTGTTACATTATAACTCCTCCTTAAGTGATATACTCAATAACTACTACTCAACAACTTACTCAACCTTGTCTTAGACATGTACTTACTTTACAAGAAGTGAACCACCAGGATTCTCCTGTTACATTATAACTCCTCCTTAAGTGATATACTCAATAACTACATATTCAACAACTTACTCAACCTTGTCTTAGACATGTACTTACTTTACAAGAAGAGAACCACCAGGATTCTCCTGTTACATTATAACTCCTCCTTGATTTACTTGTTAATGCCATAAACATCACGACAGTCTGATATTTGTGTCAAGTTATTTTAAAATTCTCATGTGAAACAATCTGAATTTTAATTTACTATTTCAATTCTATTTGAAGAACAAACAGATGTATATCAAATTCCGTCATTGCCAAAAATAAGTCCATGCAACTGGATATCCAGCCTGTATTTACATATGTTCCTTTGTCAATATTTCTTTTGATATATCAATTTAAAGCTCCTTCATCTTCTAAACATGAAGTTCACATCGATATCTGCTTTCCATTTATGCATGTTTTTGTGTTTTACAAAGCTTATGTGTTATCCTATTACAGCTACAAATCCTTGCATTCTAATCCCGCGTCAAAATCACGACCCAAAAAATGAATGTCAGTTTTTGCCTAGACGTGAACCTGAATAAGTATTTATATCTTTATATTTTTTCTACTGCAACTTGTTTACATCTCCAAGTAAACAAACATCTATTTTTAAAAGTACTTTATTATTTGTCAGCTTCCTTGTTGCATACTTCAAATGAGGATAGAATGTAAATTTAACGAGTGACTTAACTACTCAAAAGGTTTAAAATCCATATAAAAATCAAAATAATTTATGCATTTTTAAATCGCTATTAATTATGTGACACCTTCCTTTTTACATACATTTCCAAAAGGATATGTCCGTTTAAATTTATTTAACCTGTCGTGTTAGTATATGAACTATTTACTTGTAAATCCATATAATATATCACATTTTGTCAATCGTAATCCAAACTTTTATTTACCAACTTTTGAAAAATTTCTATTAATCCTTTGTAAGAATCCTTATTAAGCATATTTCAAATGAAGATAATTTTAACAGTGTTTAACAAGTGATAAGTTTTTGTCTTATTTTTTTCATGGCCATCGCAACTATGTGTTTACCATCCTCGACTATGTACACTGATGTTTTAACACTACTCTCTTCAAAATAAAATCACTCGTACTTTAAACGTCCTATTTTCCTCCGCTTGTGCCATTGATTTCAGCATACCCATAATTTTTGTAGATTCAAGTAAAACTTGTAGCATTTTGAATCCAATAAAATTAAAACAAGCATCCTATTTCTTAATCTAAATACCCAGGAATGACCACTTCTAGATTGCACTTGATCTTCTGCGTTTAAACAACAGGACTTCCCCCTCGTTAAATCACAAAGTGTTTCCTCTTTTCAATATTCAATATTAAGCTACATGAGGAAGTAATACTGGTACATACAGTATAAACTGTATATAGTGAACACCAATTAAGTCACAAAAAGTGTTCACTGAAGGTAGGTGTTCACTACAGAGAGGGGATTTTATACAGGAGTCAATGTAAAATGTGTCTTGAAGTGGTCTTCACTAAACACACGTATTCACGAGAGAGGTGTTCACTAAGATAGGTTTTACTATATCTGAATAAAGGTACAGGTATAAAGTTATATACAATGCAAAATTAGCCTTTACAGCATCTCAATTCGTCATATTAATACTTTTATAAGGCCATAAGAAGTAGATTCTTTGTTTTGCGTCCTGGCAAAATCCAAATCATGCAAGGGTACAAGGAAAACAAACACAAACTTGAGAAAAAACACAAACTTGTTTGCTTAAGAAATGTATACATTTTATTGGCATAAAAGGGATGTCATACTAATTTGCAATGATTTCAAACACATATCTATACATCATATATAATATATTTACACATAGCTATTATTCAAAGGTAACCGAAATAAGAAAATGCGCAATATATGCCAAAGTAATCAATAACACTGTCAATTTTGAACCACATAAAATTATCCGCCATTTCCTCTGATTCTGACTGAACAAAATGCAATAGTACTTTCAGCCCCTTGTGATTGCTTTTTGGATGTGTTTGTTTTTTCTGATTTACTCAAAATCGTGCAAGTAAGTGGACGCAAAACAAAGAATTTACTTCTTATGGCCTAATCAGACAAATCCATAATATGGTAATTTTCTTCTGAGTCAGGACAAGGAAAATAACTCCAATTCCTCCACGCAAATTTTCCTTATAATATAAAATAACATAAATAGACTTTACTCTCCATTCTTTTTAATTGAACAAATCCATATATGGTTATTATCTCCCAAGACAAGCCAGGGAACATGACTTTCCCTCACAATTTTCTCATTAAAAACGCAAGGCTAAGGTATGATATGCTTTTTCTCCATTAACGAATTAAAATTAAAAACTTCCTTGTCGTGAATAAAAAGCATAATCAGGGGCGTGCCGAATGTCACCTACCAAAATAAAGCACAAATGAGTGTGTTTTTATGATGAAAAGGACTAGTAAAATGTATGGCATAGTTTCTAGTATTACTGTAAAACCTGTAAATTGTGGGATGAAAATGATTCGTATTAAAGGGACACCTCTGTAAGTTGAACGCCTCTGTATTTAGTCCTTTAATTGTAAAGAACCTCTATACATATACCAAATCTCAAGTTTAGGTTTATTGTAGAGCATTTTCATGAATTTGACAAACTTTACCCTATATTCAATATCCAGCTTGAAAATCGAATGAAAAATAATCTAAAAACAGTACTTAAAGTAATGCATGTACCTTCATTCATTATTAGATACAATTAATTTTCATTATTTTCATTAAAGTTCATATTTTCCAAGGGCAGAATACCCAGACGTTAATAGATTATTCCTTTATGATTAAATCAACATATTATCTTTCCACCTTTACAAACTGACTTTTTATATCGTACTTAAATTATTCATCTTGAAGTTACATGCAACTATGAATACCTGCCTGAACTATCACAAAATAAACATTGTGGAATGTTCTAAATGTAATTTAACAATAAAACAATACAGTTAAACCTCTGTAAGTGGAACACATCTGGTATCTGAAAGTAGTGTTCCACTTGGGAGGTGTTCCACTTTGGAGGTGTCCACTTGGGAGGTGTTCTACCTATAGAGGCTCCTTTTACATGAGGTTAATTGGTAAAATGAGTTGAAAAGTGTTCTATATAATATGTGATCCATGTATTATTATCCAGGGGTGTCACTAGAATTTCTCAAAACGGGCTAAATAAAGGAAAACAACAGGCAAAATTAATTGAAATCATAAATTTAACATGGAGAAGTTGAAAAGTCCCTAAAAACAACAGGCAGTTTTGTGAAAACAACTGCTGAAAATTGGCTGTTGTCTGCTGCTAATGAAATCCCTGTATATCCATAAGATGTTCTACTTACAGGTTTTAGAATATTATATAATCCTGTGCCACAAGTTCTATGTCTAACATTGGTTGAAGACATAAATAGAGGGGGTAGAGTAGAGAGGGGGTAGAGTAGAGAGGGGGAGGCTGTCCAGATTAACACTGAGAAACTGTTCAAATATAATGCAATATAAGATTTGACATTTTATGCTTTGATCATGGGGAAGTACAAAACACTTTGTAAACACTTGATTGAATGTATTTATATTATTGATAACTTGTTGACAGAAAAAACAGTACATCAAATGTTTTAAAAATAATGATTTATGTTGGAGATGATCAAGTAACCCTTTCTAAATATTCATCTGCAAATTAACTAAACTCTGACTCTTAAGATTATGATGAGGATGATTGTCAATCCATATCAAAGAAGATGGCACATAAACTTATTGACAAACCAATTTATTCTTTACCAGGAATGAATCTTCTAAATTATGCCTTGTCTGTGCTTTTGCATAAAAATATGTGGATGGGTTGAGTAATTAAATGTAGCATGAGTTTTCAAAATAGAGAATAGGGTATGCAAGATCCTTCTCCATTGATATTTATGGGTATGCATTATCCCCCCCCCGCGAGATTTATTAGTCGATTCTAAAAATTTTGAGATGATTTCCCTGAATATTTCACATTAGGCATTCTCACTGCTACCCACCTAGTTACACAGACGTATCATCAGTGTATCATGGCGGAACTACTTCCGGAATTTGAATTCGGTAAGATATTTTTATTTCTCGATTTACATCTACTTAGAAATCACGATATGGATTATAATTTGGCTCGAAGTTATGGGAGATAGTCTAGTTTGAGAATGTGTCGATGGTTTTAGGTTTGGTATGTTAACGAAGACGCATTTCACATATTTAGTCCCTCGCTTTTGTTACACTGACGATCGGCATTAATATTGCCAATATTACACTGATATTGGTCGTTTGTCAGTGTAACAAAAGCGAGGGACTAAATATGTGAATTATGTCTTCGTTAATATATAAAACCTTAAACCATTGACACATTCTCAAACTAGACTATCTTCCTTAACTTCAAGCCAAATTATGATCCACAACCTGACTTATAAGTAGGTGTAATCAGGAAATAAAAAATCTTACCGAAACCTAGTCCCGGAAGTAGTACCGCCATGATACACTTACGGTACGTCTGTGTAACTAGGTGGGTAGCAGTGATTCTTCTTAAAAAAAATTAACTAACATTCTATCATTAAAAAACAGTACATGCTACATCTGTTAAACATCTCAGAGATAAGCCATGGGCATAAAATCAGCACAAAAGATCATAAAGTAACCATCTTCTCCTGCACAAGTCCCCATATGCTATCTTTATACAATGCTGGTTTTGTTTCTGTATGGGA